CTGGAATGATTTGTAAAACTAGGCAAGAGTCTGTATGGCTTGAAACAGGCATCTAGGCAGTGGCATGCAACGCTAAAGAGGTTTTTGGTGGCTTTAGTTCTGAGCAGTGCTTGGCCGATGCTTGTTTGTTTCATTTGATCGAGGATGGATGTGTTGTTTTGATTTTGATAGTTCACGTAGATCACATTTTTGCTGTGGGAGAGAGGGAGAGATGTGATAAGTTCGGCGCAGACGTTAACAAGTCCCTAGCACTGAAGAACCTGGGAGAGTTGAGATGCGTATTCTGGGTGCTTGATCGAGTGTAACAAGGAGACGATAACTCAAACGGAACCAAAAGCTCGGGGACAACCCCGCAGACGTTCGAGGGACTACCGTAAGCGTGCCGAGTGTGATTGCACAGCCTGCTAGACCGACTTTGAAGGCACGATTGATCCGCAAAACCAGGAGGGTCTATCAAACCCACCGATAGCTCCCTGCGGAGACGTCTCCGACACCGGCACCACATTATATACTATATTTTTTCGCATCTCTCTTTGGTTGTGGAGGCTATGACATATGTCGAGCCTTGAAAGTCGGTCTAGGGAGCGTTGCCATAGCTCGCAATATTGTATGTACAGCTGAGGTTGTGCTGCGTTGGGTTTCGGTCTTCCGTCAACAACAGCTAAAAGCTTATCCAAATTTGGACTGCAGCACTGAAGCAGTCAGAAACCATGCAACTGCTGTGTACAACCGTGGAAATCAAAATCGGCGCAAACGTGTGCAATGCCGGAAAAAACTAAACTACCTGCATTGCAGCCAAAAACTGCACTAGCATCAAAATCTGGTCATGGTTGCAACCGGGGCGCACATGAACCCGCGCAAGCTCTCCCGGAAAATGGATTTTGATGCCACCTTCAACTTCTAAAGTGTGAAAGGGCGGAGATGTGCGGAGGAATGCCAACAACGAGTACAATAACCGCGCTTGGCGCGAGAGAGGATATTGCAACTATGTTTATTGTCTGGTTGCCCTTCCTCTGCTGTACGTGGAGGACAGCAGTGCGCAGTAATATGTTTTGGCGTGCTCTGGGAGCGCTGCTGTGCAGGAGTACAGTAGTTGCAAAACGGAGAAAAAATCAATCATACAGTACCACGCAAGGTACCACACTTTTGCATGTACCAGGCCTAATACACGTGCTACGGTGCTCGTACAGGTCCGGCTGATAATGGCGTTGGGAAATAACATGTTCATTCCCCGATACGACACAAAAACAATCCGAAATGCGTCTGAAGACTCCAGCCCCCCCCCCCGGAGATCTGCCAACGTACGGCGACAGCACGGCAAAAGAGAAAAACCCAGGCTGCGGCGGAAAGGTGTTCAAAAAAGTGTAGAAAAAACAGGGCGCGAAGGCGGCCCAAAGTGTCCTTTCTCAGTCCGCACGCGGTATGTTTGAAAACACAAGTTCTATGCATAGGCCGCACAGCGAATACTGTCGCTCCTCTGTTGTTGTGTCCGTCTCGCTTCGACAGTCACATCGAGCGAACGGGAGCGAGACATAATTGCAGGTTTTCAAAACCAGGCGCGACGAGAGAAGAGTAAAAAATGTGGTAGTTTATCTCATGGGCGTAAGTACAGCGGTAGCTTTAGCTTCCCACAAAATATAACGGGTGCCTACCGACAGCACCAGTCTTTTTAAAAAGCCTGACAAATGCCTAGGCCTCCCACGCAGCTAGCAACGGGAAAAAGCTGGTGGCGCCGCTCGACACTGGCGTAGGGACTGCGTGCCCACCCACCAACTAAAGTGCTGTAGACTGGTATGTAGCTGCTGCTTGTACCGGAGTAGGAGCAAAGGAGAGGCGTTGGCCCAATTGCAACAGAGCAATTTTTGGCTCCCCCGGGAAGCGGTCTGGTCTCTGGTCAATCTCCTATTCGAACTTTGAACCGCCAACGGCTGCAGCAAACGTCCACAACCAGACACCCGTGTTAGTAAGACCAATCTTGCTGATACAGCACGCCTGCTCTCTCGTGGGACATACGCATCGACCGGGTGCTTGAGTAGTGGGGTAGCTGCCTTGCGCACCTTCGCCGGCAGCAGGCTGGATTTTTAACCCCTCCGCATGAGAGCACTTTTCGAGCGAAGACATCTAGGCGCTCACCCCGACAACAACAACGACAACACCATCAAATTACACTTCCCGGGTCTCCTTCGTCGTTCCCTCTCCTTCTCCACCACCCCCCGCCACCGTTCCGCCCCACCCCGCGCCCTGATCCAGGCGGTGCTGCTCTCTCCCCCCTAGGCGCGACTAACGACCCACCATTTGGCGCAAGCCGTTCCCGTCAGCAGTCAAAAAAAGGGACACACCCCTCCAAATCATCAAGGCAATCAGCTCACCTCTACACCAGATCGTTGAAGGCTCCGCCGACTCGTAGTTTTGACCCAGGTGGAGGACAAGGGTAGTTTGCTGCTGTTATCCACGTCTACACGCGCGCGCGTCCCTCACACAACAATCGGGGAAACGTCCCTCCTTGTCCTCCTGGGGCGGGGGGGCTGTGGATGGTGCCAGCACAAGATATATCCCCCTCATATTGTCGTACATTGTAATTTTGAGGGGAGGGGGGGGGCATTTTGGATGTATTTGAAATGGTGTCTGCAGTCTCTCTCTCGGACCTCGGACACTCACGGGAACCACGATTGGCTCCTATGCATGAAGAAGAGATACGCTTTCATCTTGCCATCTGCATACCTCCGCTCTTCTTGTGGCTTCGCTCGCCGCGCGGGAGATCGCGGAAATATACAGCTTGTAGTGTGTAGATCAGAGTGACTAGCCGACCAATCGCTTGCGAAAAGGTCTTCTTCAGAGTTTTACCTCCCGCTCTAGGCTCCCAGCAAGTTAGAGAAGAAATTATGAGCTGCGGACAAGACAACATTGAAATTTGGCATGTCACTCGTCGAGAGAAATTCGGGAGGGGCAGATATAAACTGCTCTTGTCTTTTCCGGTCGGAACTTTGACGCAGCAATAATTGTGGAAACTCTACAGCGAGGCCGCCAGTTGTCTCTAAAACCAGCTGAGAGGAACATAAATGCCTGAATAATGCGGAGACTTGATACAGAACGATGCGCCACCACACAGCCAAGAACAAAAACTTGATTACTACAGCAGTACTACGGCTCAAATTTGATCGTGGAAACACAGAAGAACTTAAACCCGACCCTTGCTAAATAGCATATAACGTACACGAATGTTCCTGCTTGCTTGCTCCTCTTCCTTCCTCAAAGAGGAGTTAAGGAGGCTTTGACACCAAGAGCGCCTCATGCGGTGCCGTGTTCTGTTGATGAATTAAAATACATACAGAGAGAGAGAGAATCCAAAGAGAGCGCAAACACATACATTACCACGTCCTATAGTAGGAGATTATACCCCATGCAAGTAAATTGCCACGCGACAGGCGGGTGTCCCAGCCCTTCAACGGGGCGGGCGCAGGCGGCTACGTAGAAACCCAACGCCCCGCCTAAACTTTTCTTTCTCCTCCATCTGTTGTCCTTATTTCCTTTACAGCCCCTCGCTGTTTCCCTCTTCCAAGGTTGTAGTGGCCGGACGGTGATCGCGAGTGCTGCCGCCATGTACCATCATCAACAGACCTACCTACCGCAACGGAGGCTAAACACGCTCACACCGTCTCTCGAAGAGACCAGGCAGGCATTATACACGCAAACGTGCCTTGCGCTACGACGCAGATTAAGCCTCGTGTCCCAACAATCTCTACTGTCTCCAATATCTCCGGTCGATCAAGACCATGCCACGTTGTTCATCACCCGACCCCCTCCCGTGGCCTGAATATTCCAGGCAAAGGACTCCTGGTACGTACGTAAGCTACCAGTGAGGACAGCTTACGATGACCGCGGCGCGTAGCTCCAATATAAACCTTGCTTGACCCGCAGACAACACGACACTATTAATAGCGACAGCGGGCGCGTCCCTTCCCGTGCAGAAAAAAGATCCAACAGCCGTTGACTTTGTGTAAAAACACATCAACAGCTGTTGACTTTTTCGCGGGCAACCTTGACGAGCTCACGTTCCTCCTGTGTCAGCCCCCAAACTGGTTGATCCTTGATTTTTAGCCGGGTCAGCAACTGCAGCAGAGGGACCCGTGAGGTGCGGGTGGGGGGGGGGGGGGGGGTTCAGGAAGGTTCAAGCTTAACACGAGGCGGTGAGGGCTATGTAGGAGTACATGAC